GGCCCCCCAGGGGGGGGGGGGGGGCAGATGTTGCTAAGTGAACAGGTCGCTTCCTTCAGGCGTCCCCGCGGGCGGAAATGGCTAGGGGTCCTTCTTGTGGCACATATCGATGGGCATGGAGCAACTTGTTTATTCGAATTCATGCAGTGTTGCCCCTAAACCCTAAACCGTGGAGAAAAAGTCCGCAAAAAACCGAGGCAATAGTCCATCCGACATGACTGCCATTGAGTTTAGACTGGGTTGCTGTTAAGGAATTTAAATTAAGTTACTATATTGGTGAAACCCTATTATTTGCTATATATACCCATTATGGTAACTTAATTTAAGTTCCTTAACAGCAACCCAGTAGAGTGCATTTCAAGGTTTGCAGCATGCAGGCTACTGGCTCTGCGAGGATGATTTCCTCTCCACAGACGGCTGTCCAGCGTTCTGCTCTCATGGTTAAGGGTTTAGGGTTTAGGGTTTAGGAGGAGTAGAAACTTACTAGTCGAGTGGGCGCACTCAACACTGTACGGCTTCCCGCAGCCAGGGGGAGTTTCAAGTGCTATGTGGAAGAAGTACTTACGTCTTACTTTGTGAAGGTCCTTGGATTCTCTGCGGTCTAGAACTTCGCAGCTCAAGCTTCATGCATGGTTTTAGCACTGAACGATCGCTGCTAGTCCAAACCTTAAACTGGGTTCTGGTAGAAGCCTTTAGTCGTCCCGCATACCCTCATAGACTCCAGATTCCACTGGTGACTAGAAACCCACCCCAACAAGAGCCAGAGGACAGCATTAGAGTATGACCTATCCCGATGGAGCAGCCGTCTTCAATCAAGCCTGGGAGCCCAAACAAATCAAGCTTCAGGGGTCCCAATGAACGACGCCCGGGAAAGAACCAGGGTCCCCTTCTGGCTTTATTGCCCCTCCCCTCTCTGGCTGTTTAAAGCAAAACTCCTAGCTTGCTGTATGATTGGGTGCTATATACAGACTGCTATCGGGATCCAGTCCTCCGCTCCCGACTAACAACCAGTAAGATAGTGGGCACCATGAACTGGCCTAGTTTCATGAAATCAATTTATGATGCCTAGCAACAAGCAGCTAAATCAGGATCCTTGGGGCCGGGAAGGAAAGCAGCAGTGCTCCGGTGCTAAAGCTCTGTGAAGTCAGCACGCAAGAACTGTCCTGGGATTTCGAGTCAAGGAGCGTCCTCCCCCAAAGATGAAGCAGTAGGCATTTAGGGTTTAGGGTTCTCTCGACAGACCTCTACATTCTTTCAGCAGTAGAAGGACGAGATTCACCTGCAGAGTCCCACCTTCCCAGAAACCAAGAACCCACGGCTGATCCCGCAGCATTTCCGGACTGCAGCTATGTGCAGGAATGTTCGCGGAAGTTAGAAAGACAACCGACCACTACAATACATGCGTTCAATTGGTCAGGAATGCAAGGCCTGCAACACCACAACAGCTTGTGGTTAAAGAGTGACACTCAGACAGTTCTAACATCCTCCACCAATGCGGTAAGTGATCTCTCAGGCAACATCGAGCCTTCGTCATTGAGTACAGTACGTGCGCAGTCAATGCTCAGGCGCCGTAATTAGCTGTCCTTTCGTCTGTCTCAGGCGCCGGTTCTTGCCCGGTTGTCCTCACCAAGTTGCAAGCATGATGCGGCGTTGGCTTCTCATCGCGTCTGTGGCGGCTGCTTACGTCTCCTGCTTCAAAGATACAGCGTGCAGGTGGCAGTGATTTCGAGCCGAGGGTGTCAAGTTTCTGATGGGTGTTCCTATCACATATGAGCCATGGTCTAAACTCCTAGTACCCCCCTTAAAAAAACCCAATAGTACTCCCCTATACAATCCCCTGTGTAACCCCCTGTAAGGAGTCTAAATCATGACTCATATGTTGTAAAAAGCAGCATTCAAACTGGAGCATAGTAGTAGTACTGGGGGGAGGGTTATACTTATAGGGGATTGTATAGGGGAGTATTGCAAGGGTTATTAATTGGGATACTAGGAATTTAGACAACGGCTCACGTCATGCAGTTCAACTTCAGGTGCAGGGGTTGTGTGGTCCTGAGCCGCAGATGCGGAGCCTTTTATCCCCAATAAAGAGTAGTTTCATGTAAGAAGAAAAGTATCTTGCTTGGTTGAACTACTTCAGCATCTCTGTTCAGATGTTTAAGGCCGGAAACCGGAAACCTAAAACCCTGAACCCTAAATACTAGCATCCATTTTCTCTTCCATAATCCTTGCATAATATGACCTAAGCCAAACCACCCAGGCACGTGGACCCAACCTCCCGCAAGGCAAACAAAAGGGACATAAACACCTCTTCCCGGCATCTCCTTGGAATCCCCAAGAATGTACTTGAAGGGTCAGGGGGACCTGGTAAGTAGATTTAGCAATGGGGATAAGTAGGGTTACTATATGGGTTATAGGGGTTATTAACCTACTTGCTAAGTTCCCCCGACACTTCAAGTAGAGATCTGATTAAAGGGGTTAGGGGCCTTGGAGTTTAGGGAAGAAAGATTTTAGGGTGTCCCTTTTAAAGTCCCAGGACGGGGGCTGTAGGATGATGTTCAAGGGTTTTCAGGGTTGTAACCCTATGCTTGCACCCCTGATTATAGTTCTGAGCCCTAAACCCTCAACCCCTAAACTCTAAACCCCAAACCCTGAACCCTAAACCCCTAAACCCTAAAACCCTAAACCCTTCAAGGAGCTCCCGAGGATTGCATTGGGTCAGACAGCGGCTATGTTGTGGCCATAACGATATCGGGGGAACTCTCTAGGGGACGACCTTAGGGGCAGAATCCTGGAACCTTTGAAGTTGCGTGGCTCCCTGAAAAGAGGAGCTGCAACTCCAAACCTTGAACCCTAATCCCAATGCGGCTAAGCCCTAAACCCCCAACCCTAAATTCTTACCTGACCAAGCCCTCAGCCAAGGATCCGTCGCAGGCAACCTCACAAACAGCGAGCCGCGTGCCTCCCGTCGAGGCCGTACTTTTGCAATGGATGGCTTGGCAACATTAGAGGGTGTCCCAAAAGCAGGGGTAGCCCCAGAATAAGGACTATAGTATTTTGGTGTCTATATTGGGGTCCCCCTATTTTGGGAAAGTACCATTACTAGGTGGCAATCTTTGATATTCCTTATCTTACTTACTGGTTCTTAGTAAGGAATATGGGAACATAGTCGTTGTATAATCCGTACATGATACTTTCCCTTATTCCCTACTATGCCCCAGCAAGTTAGTCTTGTATCCATGCCAGCCTGGCCCCTACTGGAGATGTTTTTCTGTGAGCAGACATGTCCCCATGAACCACTTCAACCCAGACCCCCTGAAGGATCCAAAATATGGAGCCCCCCAGTACTGCATTGGGGAAACTAGGGGATTATTGGGAGGTTCCATGTTTTGGATCCTGTAGTGCGTCTGGGAATGCACCACTTTATCATGGGTGGTTTCTCGACTGGACAATGCCTGAGGCGGACTCCTGTGCTGTACTGAAAGCCCTCAGCCCGAAAAATCCTGAAGTTCTGAACACCAAACATGCCCAAACCCAAAACCTGAAACATGACTAAACGCGAAACCCTGAACATCTCTTAGCCCTAAACCTACTTTAAACATCCCTAAATCGACTAAATCCTAAACCCTAAACATCCCTAAGCCCTATATCCTACATAGGTACCGAAATAGGTCCCTTACTCTCCTCAACCCCTATGTGGGCGATGATCTAAACTCCTTGAGGAGGGTTATATTGGGAATATATAGGGTCCAACTTATGTGGTTTTTTAAGCGGGGATAGGGTGTAGGGCTTATGTTTTAGGGTTTGGGGTGTAGGGTTTGGGGTTTAGGGTTTAGGATTTCAGGGTTTAGGGTTCGAACCAAAATGCATTTGGCTACGAGACCCAAATTGGGTGCAACCTTTTGCAATTAGAGGATAGGCTTCCTGCTGCACGACCGCCATGGCTTCTCACAAGCTATGCGCATGCATTGGGTATTCGATACGGCTTGCAAGTAAACAAGGACTTGGTGAAGTTACTCCTCATTTGTGGCAAGCTCTCTCTTCGGTGTTGCGCCCAGCTGAGATCAGACATACCATTTCTCTGAATTCCGCTCTGGGATTCGACACAGTGGATGTTGAGCATTGTGCAACCCAAACGGATGTTGAAGTGATTGAGAAATCTGACTGTGAGCGCATCATGGGTACCCTGG